GATGCAACGAGTCTACAAATAGCCGTACACACATCACGGCGAGCTCGACACCTTTGTTTATTTGCTTTGTTGTGATCCTGCAACTCTTGTAATCAGAGGAGCAGCAGACAAACTTGTAGTGACATTTGCTCTGTGTTGTTTTGAGAGATTCCGTGAAACCGCATCGCTTTGATGTCGAAGGCAGGCGATGCTGATGCATAAACGGGAGTTGAAGGTGAGAGTCGGGGCGTGGAGAAGCTTTTTTTTTCCCTCATCGACGGCATGCGCTGAGCAGGCGGGGTGACGACAAGGAGAAACGAGGAGCTGATGATCAGTGTCTTGGCTTCATATTTGCAATTAGTGAAGGGGGGTGGGTTCGTTTTTGATTAAATCTCGGCTCTTATACTTCACTCAAGAGGACTTAATCACTTTTTATGTGGGTGTGCTTGATTGTCTGATTATCACCACATTTTGGCCGTGCTCCCTCCCAATCAACTCCTCCGAGCGTCCACCCCCCCGTCCCCGTCCCTTCTCTCTTCGATTGATTCGTAACAGTCACAGTAAACCCTGATGATGGAGCGCTCGCCTAATGACCATACATCACGAGGAAGTGATGAGGGGCGTGCTGGAGACACGATGCACATCACGCAGATCCTCCCTAATAGTTGTCCTCTATTTTTTGACATCTGCGGGGAGAATGAGTCGTTGTCTCTCCCAGCAGGATGGTTGACTTCTTGATGTACAGTAATGAGATTATTAGAGTCCCGGAAGCAATTCTGACACTAATTTAATGGCGCTGCCTCTAACTGCTGCTAAAATTCCACATTCGAATGGAAGGAAACTGTCAGCGGATCAGCCGTACAAAACTTTCGGCCTCGCGTTCGAGTGAAAGCAAATGGTTTCTGGTCTCAAGTGTCCAAACGGTGCTAATACTTTGGAACGTCTCAGCCAAAAGGACAGGAGAATGCACTCTGGACATTAGGCATGCCTGCACAGACAGCACACCAGCTAGTTTCTGAACCAGTGGCAGTTGGCTTGAACCACCGTATCAATAATATGATAAAACATGCACATTTTTTATTGATGAACGCCTCCAAATAAAAACTGTCGCTCCAAATTGCCTCAGACACAGTTGAGATAAATCGATGAGCCTCTCTCATCCACTGAAAACTTACTGAATATGCAGATGGGTGCCATAGCGTTCACTACTCTAATTGATTTTGACAATAATTGAGCGAAAAAAGCTGCACAAATATATAGTTTTTATGAACAATGGGCTGCTTTACATTTTACATCTCTATGAAGCATTTTTAATGTCTTTTAGCTCATTATTATTATAATTATTTTTGTTTTGCAGCCCTAAACTCATCTGTTTGGTTCAGTTTTGGTTTTTTATCATCATTCCAGATGCAGTGAGCAGATGTTTTCAGCAGAAAAACAGTTTGATGAATCTACTTCCTGCTACCGTCCCAACATAAAACATCAAAAAACACAAAGTTAGCCAGTAAGAAAGCATTTATCAGCTATTTCCTTCAATGGATATGTCACATTTTACACAAGAATACTTCACCTACATTCCTCAAGAAGCCAAAGTAAGAGTCTAAATTAATACTAGCATCACTGTTGTCTCTACTTGATTGGAAAATACCCAATAATTAGCTAATCTATCAACTGTATCAACAACATAAAGGTGCTTAAATGTCTATTTTAGGTTGTTTGGTTGTCCCCAAGTGGCTAAAACCAGTTAAATCCACCTCTAGTCACTGATGAAACAGTGTTTCCAGCCAATTAATTGCATCAATTCACAGTTTTTCTTCATTACTGTATGCAGATATAAATAGAAAACCATTAGCTCTCGAACCGACGGTGACTAAACACAAGAAATCGTTGAGCTCTGACAACCTGCGGTGGACTGTTCAACTGTTCATAATGTGGTTAACAAGGACAGTGACAACCTTTGATGCTCAGGTTCACGCCTACAAGCTGATGAACCGTCTTTGCTCGATAATGACGAACGTCGTCGTGGCTCTGCTACACAACTTATGTCAGGAAGAAACTGTCAGCGGTTGATGAGTAATATTTCTGCCATTTTCACGACGTTTCTCTTTCCAACAATGAAGATTAATAATGTACCACTCGCTGTTTTTCCTTGTTTTTCCTTGTAACACTTGACTGCTTTAACACAGGAAACATTCACATTTGCATGGACTTGTTTCATGCATTGCGGAGCGTGGGTGAAAAGCAATTTTGTGCAAAAAAACTTTTTTCTTTTTTCTTTCCCTCCCCTTCTTCTTCTTCCTCCCACTGTTGAGCTATTACTGTACGTACGACAAGACAGTTGCCTGATTCTGTCACGGCGCAATCCATTTTTAGACGCATGAATAAAACATCCCGCCACCTTTTCTTGGAGGTTGCCACTTTTCGCCGCAAATGAACATACAATAAGACAAGAGGGTATTCCTCGCAGTCTGGGCTGGAGCACCCATTCTGTCAAATGCCTCGGTGTTTACTGTATATTTTAGCAGCGTGCGAGATGATTGCTCGGTTTAAGGTTTCCTGACCGAGGATGCGGTTGTTTTATTCAACAGCTGCTTCCTCCAACTATTCGTCGAGGGGTTTTGGGGACAGAGGAGGAGGAGGAGGGATTTGCATCGTCTTCTAAAAATTACCATCCAATCTGTAACCTGTCTGACTACTTCAAAGCGCCACGCTGAGCGAGCAGACTGACATGAAGACATCCACACCTCCCATTGGGAGACTGGGTTGTCTCCTGTCTCGTATCCGGACAAGCCCTGTCCCCTACCAAGCATTTGCGTCTCACTCATGCACGAAGCTGTCATTTCCCAAAAGCATCAGGCATCCACCCCCCTCCAGAAAGGTGTCACTGGGGATTATGGGATACCTCAGGGGGATTAAAATGTTCTTGACAGACTGGCCGCTTCACTTATTTGCCGAAGTCGCTCCGTGTCGTCCTTTAGAGTATTCACCAAAAAAAAAAAAGATTCCCGACCGCCAAAGGCCAAAAAAAAAACTTGTTCTTATTTCTGACCGAGCAGATTTCTCAGCACGCTTTTGGCTTTTGATGTTTTTTTTTCCAATGCAGCGATTACATTTTCACTTATCTTATCACGGAACGTCTGTTTCAAACTTCACATTTTTTTTTGTGATGAAGCAATTATCGACAAAGAAAGTGTTGGCAATTCCCCGCAGTGGAAGTGCTCATTTGCTGCTCGCTAATGTCCAGAGTGTTTTTTTTTTTTTTTAATCAAGCAACGGGAGGAAGATGAAAAAAAAACACACACAAAAAAAACACACACAATACCGCATGCAGTACGTGTCGAGTGCATTAATCCTCCTCCTCCTCCTCCTCCTCTCCTGTCTTCTTCTAATTAAGGGTCATTCTGTCTCACGGCCACATTAGGACACTGCACACACACACAGTCCCAGCCCACATAATTAAATGTTTTTTTGTGCTTACCATCTGGAGACCTCATCTCTTTAAACATGCATGTCAAATTGATTCCTTAATAATGTTTATGTTTCCTCTCAGTGCTTTATTATCATCCAGGATTAGCTGTTTGTGTTTATTTTTGTGCCTTCATCAGCAGCACACACAAAAAAAAATCCACACAAGCAGAACAACGGCACCCTTAAGGTAGCAGCAGCAAAGCAAACAGTCGTGATCTTCAAAGCCGGTGGACGAAATTTAAGCAGCCACAAACTGTCTTGGACACACAGTCCTCCCCCTCGTCGTTGTTTTTCAGGCCGCTGTGGGATTTTATGGTTCATTGTTGCATCAAACAATATTAGCAAAAACATGTTTCACCAATAAATAACCTTTCTGTGCCAGTCTCACGGGGACATTTGTGATTAAAAACCCACCGGGTTGATTCAATAAGCAAACACGTGAGGTGGAAAGTGATATTTACTCCTGTTTTCGTATCACCCAACTCTTTGTCCGTCCCTCTCTCTCTCTCTTTTTTTTTATTTTTCTTCCCATTTTTCCGCCTTCAAATGGCAACCGTCGTCGAAATACAGACATATGTGCAGCCAGAGAAGCGTTGTGCCTTTCTCATTCTCTTTCTCTCAGAGTGCAGTTGAGGATTAGTCTGTGCCTGAGTGCCTAGAATAATGATCACTGCAGCGGAGAAACACATTTTCACATTTCAGGAGATAAGGGCAGGCAATCTGCAAGCAGAGGACTTAACCAGCTCCCTGTGGCTTATTGTGGAGCTAAGAGAAAAGTCACCAGCAACTGCCAAACACCAGCAGAAGCACGAAGGACACCCACTACTATCTGCTTTTTTTTCTTACACTGTCAGGGACATCAGTCTCTCTGAAATGACACTGAAATTACACCCATAATTTTTTTTTTTTTTTAAAGGCACCCCAGCTCGCTCTGCCCCTATTGTGCTAGTGTCCAATTTCTTACTGTGGTGGTTCATTTCCCACCAAGAGATCAAATCTGGGTTTATTTCCCACAGAGAGACCAAATCTAATATTTCAGTTCAAAGATAGCTTGATGTGAAGGGCCATTCTCACTTTCAGACTTAATCCACTCTTGCATAGCCGGCTTCCCAGAGTGGCAGACGTGCTGAGAGGCGCTCCTTAATTACAGGGAATAAAACATTTTTTTTTGGACATTATCGGGGAGAGGAGCGGTCGGACATCGTAATGACAGGAGGAAAGAAAAAAAAAAAGAAAGCACACCTTCGCAAATGAGACCTGAATTTCCACATCAGACGGAAGAAGAAAAAAAAAAAGATGTATAATGCCGACGTGGCAATCTACCTCAGTAGTGCTTCTTTTGTAACCCACTTCTCAATAAACAAGAGGAGAGAGAAAACGCCAAGTAAGCTGTTCAAAAAGCAACTTCCCCGGGATCAAAGGAATTCAGTTCAATAAAATAAATATTTAAAAAAAACACCTACCTTTCCCACATACTGTGCATCCGGTCCCATGTGTTCTTCTAAAACAAAGAACTGGTTCCAGATCCAGCCGCGCTTGGGCCGGTGGTGCACCTCCGTCTCCCCGTTGGCCAGTTTCGTCTGGTTCTTGGAGGGCACTTTGGTGGGAAGGTGGTGGCTCGAGCCGTAGCACCTCTGGATGAAGCAGAGGCAGACCAGAACGGGGCAAAGACAGGAGGTGGTGGATATCCTCATGGTGGCACGCGCTTTTGTAAAGTTATCCCCGTGTTCCAAGGTGGCAAGGTCCTCCCGCCGCCGCCGCCACAGCCGCCACAGCCGCCACCAATAGCCACCGCCGCAGTAGTTCCCCCCAAAAACCAGAAAAAACCAAGGTAATCTAGATCCAAACGGTGGAAGTAACGGTCCTGGGAGATCCTCTAAGATTCATGGCCCAAAGGTTTGCTCAAAAAAAAAAGAAGAAGATGCATTTACATTATGGAATTTCCCGGGCGGCGAGAAGCTGAGCAGACGAACTTCTGGGTAGTTCTACCAAGAGCCGAGGTTAATCCCGGAAGGCATTCTGGATATCCTGCGAGAGAGGAGGAGGAGGGGAAGAGAAGAGAAACAGAGATTAATTTGATGGATATTAGAAGCTAAATGTCCACTAATTCCCTCCAATTAAATTGCAACTCAGAAATCCTTACAGACGAGGATGCGCACTTCAAAACCGGCTGAAAGTACAAAACAGGCAGCGAGGAATCTTGCTTTTTTTTCTGCCATATTGCAGAAGGTACAACCAAGTTTAGACTCGAGGAGTTGCGCTGCTATTAAAAGGTTGCCCGTGCCAAGGTCGGAGCGCTGCTCGGTGACTGATACCGCCCTGTGAGGTCAGAGTCATGTATCACAGCAGCGCAGCGTCGGCCCCCGTGACTCAAAAGGATGACTCGACTTTATTAAAAAGTAACCCCCGAAAAAGCTTCGGTTGGGGCGTTTTAACACAACCGAGGCGCACCGCGAGGCTCGCAGAGTGCCTCACGCACGGTGCATAATAAGTGTGACAGGCAGAAATACATTTGCCGCGATAAGGACAGACATCAACCACTCAGACGGAAGGCGGAAGGTGATTTTCAAAAGGCAGCGGAACGGAAAACACAAGAAGGGGTTTGATTTTTATTTTTTTTCTAAATCAAAATTACATACAGTGTTGAAAATAACTGCGAGTGCCGTTGGATGTCTGTGTAAGCCAAGCTGTGTGCACTACCTCTGAGAGAACGCACTAAAGAGGAGGTATTAGCGAGTGAATTGTCTGGTCTTGGGGTGGATTTTAAAGTTAGATATGCTATTTAAGTGTTGCTGAGGCATGAAATCAACTCTCAGTGCTCACTTTTTTTTGTGAGAGGAAATTGCATCATTTGACCTTCCAGTTGTGAGATGCCCTTGAAGTTTGATGCCGTACAGGCGGCTGCGAAGCCTCGGTTTCTCAAAACAGTCACACTCGCACCGGGGAGACAGAGAAAGAGCTCAATTTGCAAATGGGACAAAAGCGCTGCAGACTTTGCCAGCTCTGCCAGGCTCTGGTGATTATACTTTAACACAACCTGCCTGACGACATATTCTCAGCTCGAACTACACTGGGTTTTGTGAGGCTTTCGCAGGTGTTGGTGTTGGATACACATAATTACGACTGTCGTATTTGTAGAGGAATTGAGGCAACAAGACGACACAGGCGGAAGAATCGTCTGTTCGCAACTGCCTAATGAACATACCGTAAATTCTGGACTATAAGCCGCTACTTCTTTCACATGCTTTGAACGCTGCGGCTTAAACGACGATGCGGCTAATTTATGGATTTTTCAGATTTTTACGAATTTGCCTGGAGAGCGACAACGAAAGAGAGACTGAGGAAGTGGTGAAGGAATTTTGAGTAATTCTGACACTGAAGAAGACGACTTTAGTGGTTTTAGTGCAGGAGGAAGATGAAGATAGCAATCAATGACCAGCCGTGTTACAGGCACTGTTCGGAAAAAGGCATTTACGGTGTTTGTGTATGTTACCGGTTCGTGTTTAATTAAAAGTTTTAAAAGATCTTTCTTCGTAAATATCTCATGTTACAACGTGGACACCTGCAGCTTATAGACAAGTGCGGCCTGTATATGTACAAAACTTGTTTTCTTTTTAAAGTTCGTGGGTGCGGCTTATATTCAGGTGCTCAATAGTCTGGAATTTACAGGATGTCTTTCAACTTGCAGGATGGGACCTTCTGCGTCATTATTCTTCCTTAGAACTTGTTTTTTTGTAATACTACAGCATTACAACTCTCCATTGTGTAGCTGGAGGTGAGCTGGTGTGCTCGAGCTGAAGGAAACAATGGCGCAGAGTCACATTTAAGCCATTTTAGCTCAAGAAGGGATTATTTTCATGGAATAAAAAATACAAAACATTAACTTTGATACACAGAGATGAGATTTTAGGGCTTTAAAATACAATATAATACATGAGGGGCTGCAAGGTGGCGCAGGTGGTTAGCATCGTTGTCTCGCAGCAAGAAGGTCGCCGGAGTCTCCATGTTCTCCCCGTGCACCGTGGGTTCTCTCCGGGTTCTCCGGCTTCCTCCCACACAGTCCAAAAACATGTTGAGGTTAATTGGTGATTCTAAATTGTCCGTAGGTGTGAATGTGAGTGTGCTTGGTTGTCTGTCTCTAAGTGTGGCCCTGTGATAGACTGGTGACCTGTCCAGGTTGCCCCTGCCTTCACCCTGAGTCAGCTGGGATAGACTCCAGCCCCCCATGACCCTAGTGAGGATTAAGGGGTGTATAGATGATGGATGGATGGGTGCAGCTTATATTCAGGTGCGCTCAATAGTCTGGAAATTGCGGTATTCTTAAAGTTTACGATGCCACAGAACATCACCTCTACTACTAACTTACTGCCATGGACTCTTTCTGCTCTTGAAACTCCCATTTCCTCCATATCTTGGTATATCAAACCCGACTCCGCCACCACACCAAAACAAAGATTTTAGCAGAGTCTGACTCACATCCGTTGCCCCGGTCACCCGCTGACGCTAAACACACGCCACAATACTCCTTGTTTACACAAAGCAGCTCCCACAGTGTCCTCGATAAAATGGGTTGAGGAGGAACACTTACACGGATCCCTTTTTTTTTTTTTGCCTAAATGCAGACTTAAAATTGGGATGACACATTTGACAGACATCTCACAAGTCCACGAGAACACAAGGACAAAAGGAACGTGAAATGAGATGATGTTTGGGAATGACAATGGGGTAAGAGCTGATGCCAGTAACAATGTCAGTCAATCGGTACGGCGGATTATTTATAGCGCCGGAGCACAAATGCACAGCCGGCTTCGGCGGAGGCTGATGTGGGAACGTTTGGACTCCTGGGATTTTGATTTTTTTTATTTATTTTTTTTGAAAAATGTACTTTATAGCCACAGTTGTCATTCCGTTTTATTACAAAAATAGGAAAGTGGCACCTGTTCTAAATGAAAACCAACCGCCTCCATTAACCGTCTGAACCCTAAAAAAAAAAAAACCTGCCGACAGGATTGAAAAGCATTAAAAAAAAGCCAAAATGACACCGTTTGTCAGAGCCAGAATTTGTACAAATGGAAAGAATCCAGTGGTTCTTGAACTGCTCATCTGCTCCATGATATGTCATCAAAATCACTTTTTTCCATCCATATATCGTTTAGAAAATGGTCAAAAATAAACCGTTCAGTCCAACCAGATTCTGTAAAAAGCAAAAAAATTACGCTCTCTTTACCGCAAGTAGGACGCTATGAGTGACTCAGCTGCAGCAAACGATGACATGGCAAAAAAACAGAGACTTTTTTAAGAACTCGGTTGAACTGCAGGCTGTGTTTACCCAGAAAAGACAGAATACAAGTGTGGAAACTAATTAAAGATGCAAATCGTAAAATATCTATATTATGGAGAGTTTCTTCCTCAGTATCGGTAACACCTGTAGGCCCTCGGACAAATGTTGTACATGCAGATTGCAGATTTTTTTCCATAAAGCATGAACTAAGTAGGGCTGGTCCGAACAGCAATTTCTGTTCTCTGGATTTTCGGCCCCAATTAATGATGAATTTCCCGAATATTTGGGGGTCCAGCTCAGTGGTGGTGGGTTGGAGGGAGAATATTTGGATTCGGATATTCGGCTATTCGGGTCCAGCTCGAGAATTAAGTAAGAAATTGAACTTTAATTTGTTTTATTTTTTGCGGATTCATGGCATTATAACTGTATAATACTACAACAAAGACATGTTTTCATTCGCTCTACTCCTAGTCATGGTTGTGCTGTTTCCATGGAGGTCCACAGTGAGTAAAAATATAAGAAACTGAGTTCAAGGGGTTAAAAGAAACTAAAAGAAGGAGCTCGTTCCCTCGTCCCTAAACGAGATGTACTGCCGTGTTCCAAACAGAGTTACAGCAGAGAGTCGGTCCAGCGTGCAGGTTGTGCGGCAGAATAGCAGCTTCGTGGGGATTATCGAGAGGACAAATACACGTGTTTGATATATAACAGGATATAGGAGCTGTCAGACTTCAAAGCCGGCTGCTCTCTATCTCCCACAATGCATGTGACAACATTAGAGGGAAACGCCGGAAACCAGACGTTAATGCAACTTACGGCTGTCACGTACTTCGAAGGATAACCGCCAAGTTATTTTTTAAAAAACACAAATATTTGTACATGTGTATGGATTAAGATGTGCTTAGAACTGCCTGACTAATCCCCATGTTTCAACTATCTCTACATGCAAATTACGCGGCTCAACGGCGGTTGTTGGTCATGTTGACTAAGTGCAGTGATGTTAACGGGTAATACCTAGCGAGAGGGAAGGCAAAGTCTGTTCCACATCGACTTGGATTAAAGCAGAGGAGGATAAATACTCAGCTACGCGCTAAACATGTGTAATCTGAGACAAGATTCTCATCTGCATAGGTAAAGCTACACCCAAATCCTGCTTCGCCTGCTCCCTCCCGACGATGCCGAGCCCCGCTGAGAATACCGACGGAGTGGCTCTTTTGAATAAGCTGTTTGAGAGAATTTTTTTCTTTTTTCTTCTCGGCTCGGAATCACTTTTCTGATTCAATAATGACACTGTGGAACATTTTCAGAGCGTCGGCGAGGAATCGTGGCACCTGATTTAGACAGACTCTGTGTCAGGAATGCGGAAATCTTTTTCTTTTTTTTTTTCCAGTGGTTTCACTTTCCCCTCCTGGGGCT